TGTGACAGAACAAAGAAGAGGTTAGGAGTTGATTGATACACGGACAGATGAGATTCCCCGAGTTAATCCAGTGCGGCCGTCTACCACCATTAGTTTGCTGTGTTTTATAATAATAAAACGTGTTTATTATTATTAACGCTTTGGTGCAAAAAATTGATTGAAAATCGATTTATTTACTGCATGTTTATGTCTGTTAAGGCTAAGATGGAACGGCACAGAAAGCAGCCCTATAAACCATTCAGACACGAACACAATAGAGACACAATCAGATGACTTATTACCCCGCGATAATAACTCAATAGTCCATGGAAAACCCTTATAAGCTTATATTAAGGCAGAAATTACAGCGCCCACCGTAAGAAAGGCTTACAGTTTTCAGTTATGCCGCATGAACTGATCAGTAGATTATTGCGAGGGAACGCAAAAGTTTTGCGAGGGAACACAAAAGAAAAAAAAATCCCCATGTCCCCTGGAGGGCTCCGTAGGTTTATACCTGGTGGTGTGGGGGCAGCTGTTTACCTCACAATGCTTTGGGCTGGCTGTGTTTCATGGCTCCGGATGATGGAAAACACATCAGGTTAAGCCCCGCCCCACATCTTGTATCCAGGCGACCTATATCTCTGGTGCGCGAGGCGTTACGTCAGCGGCAAACGTCTCTCCAGACCGACTCAACGTTCAGAGGAGGTGACCGGTCGGCGGGAGGCTTTCTGAGCGGTAAATAAGGCGAGAAGAGGGAGACCGACATTCAAGGTAAGGTTTCGGCTAAACTAGCCGCACCCGTCTGGGTTACTTTTAGGAAATAAGTCTGTTATTTCCCCAAACAGACCTGTTTGTGGGTAGATACGCCGACATGGACTTTACTGATAAACTGCTGCTGACTTATTCGTTTGTGAATTAAATGTTGGGTCAGTATGCGCCATCTTAATGGAAAATAGACGAGTCGTTCTAAAAGCAGTGGAAATGTTCATGTCAGAAGAAGCTTTATTTGATATATAATTTAATAAGAAATTACCCTTTGGCTTGCTGCAAAACGACCTTACTGGACCTGTAGCTGCGTTAGAGTATGTTTTGGTAAATTAATTTTCTTATTAAAAACAGTATGAAAAACAAATTACAGATTTTTTTTTCTTTTGCTTTTGAAGATGTAAAAATTACACCGAAATTAAATATTTTTGCTCTGTTTTGCAGTCACAGAGTGGAAATTTTTACTTTGACTTATATTAAGCAATAAAGACTTTTAATCATTCACAAAAAGAAACGCATTTTCTCCACACCTGGTCTTTCTTCCTTTCTTTACAAAGTAGACAATACAGAATACGTATGCACAAATCATAATATCACAAACAACAAGCTTAGTTCTGAGTAAAATAGGCGGAAAAGCTTTTTCAGTGGAAGGTTGTAGATAATTACCAACATGGCATTTTTAAATAAAATGTAATTAAAACTATAGAAGCAAACAGTGAAAATGCTGTGCCAGGGGCAGATGTCTCGACTATGTATCAGATTTCAGATAGCATAATGCTTTATTGACCAATGAGGATGTAAAATTAAGCTAATATTAAAGTAATTAAGTACCAGGTAAATAACAGCAGAGTCATTTCACCATCCTTATTGTCACGCATTGTAAAAATTATGATAAATTCAGATTTTAACATTTAATTTGGGTAAATTTAATCCGCTGTGGCAAAAAAAGTTAAAAAGAAACTATACCCATTACTATTATTTGTACTGTTGATGCTTTGTGCCCTCCTCTTTTTACAGTGAAAGTGCAGTTAGTCTTCTCTTAGAGAAGGTTGGAGAATAAAGCGATAGAGATTTTTTAATTTTCCTCTTTGCATAATCTCAGAGTACTTGGTATCTGAGGCCCTTTCAGCTCATGCTGCAGGTTTTCTACATTATTGAGGTCAGGGTGGTGATACTCTCAATAATTATTCAGCTGAAGAATGCAATAAAAACACATTGTCAGTCTGAGGAAAAATCTACAATTATAATACAATATTTACATATTGTATTAGTGGGTCTGCACTTTTGTCCATTGACTGCACCAACAACTCCCTTTCAATCCTGCATGGGTTAAAAGTGTATACAAATGGATAGATGGATTATAATGTTGCTTACAATGAGAACACTGAAAAAAATACATGCTTGCTTTTTATGTCTTGATCTTTCTGACTTCCCATTTGGGTTCCCTGCCCTGACTAATGGATATTAAAGCCCAGCAGTCAGACAAAGGCAGTAGAATGATGGAGTAGGATGGGGGAACACATCAGCTTTATTAGATCAGCGGGCTGCTCTTTTTATGTTCGTGTTGAGCCATTAGTGGCTTATAAGCAGCCTCTGCACCCAGATACTGATCAGCTGAAAATGTGAGGTTAGCCTATTTGTCACAGAAAACCCCACTTTGTTACCTTTTTTTATATAAAGCCTCAGATTGGATTAAAATAAAAAAGATCACGACATTCAGTCAGAAAATATACTGATTCTGATCCCCAACTCCTTTCTCTGTGCATCTTTAAGATAAACAGCATGTGATGCATTTTTAATACCATCCAAATAATCTTTTCACATATTTGCTTGTATTTCCTTTTCTATAGTGTGAAGATGCAGCTTAAATCTTCTCTACTGTGCCTTCTTTTATTTTACTTTCCTTTCCTATTGGCCAAAAGAGGTGGAAGCTTAGGGAAGAGCCTTGGTGGAAGAAAGGGGTCCACACCCAGCCGAAGTGCCACTAACAGCAATACGTGGCACAAAAGCAATCAGGGCTCCAATCCTCAGGGTGGACAACCCAAACAGCCAAAACAAAACAACCAGGGAGGATACCCAGGTGGTTACCCCAGGCAGCAGGGTGGAGGCTACTACAACCCGTACCCAGGTATGGGGTCACCATATAGTAACAGAGGGTACCCAGGTGGATACATCAATGCCAACCCAAATAACAAAATTTTAAGCCCTCGCTATGGTGGCAGCTTTGGCTACGGAGGGTATGGCTCCAGAGGTGGCTCTCCATTTTCCCAGTCAGTTCAGGGAATGGGTTTATTTCCTAACAGTAAATCCAAAGGGTTTGGGCGCTCAGCAGTGATGGCAGCGGGTGGAGGGGCTGTGGTGGGGATGGCTCTTGGTTACGGACTAGGAAGGTTCCCCCGGCCCGATTTTCAATTTCACAACCCCCAACAGGAGTACTACTACAACCACTACATGCACAGGAAATATGGTACCCGATCAACTGACACCAACGACTACAGCAGAGATTATAGCTTCAAAACTCCCTCAGGAAGCTACGACAACTTCATGGACGACTGCGTGAAGACAATTGACCTGTCTGCAGAGAGTCAGAAGCCACCAAGTAAACCAATCAGCAGGACCCCAAGTGAGGCGTCCAGCCCTTTAACCAACAACACGACAAATGCTACCACACCTGCAAGTCCATCGCCACAGGAATCCAGTAGTGCTGAAGACGACGATACAGTCAGCATAGTAGAGATTGGCTATCCGGCACTGATCGAGCAGCTGAAGGCCAGGAAGTGCTTGGAGCGTTACATGGTTGAGTTTGATCATTACTTAGTGAGACGTAATGGAGGAGGTGCCGACGCTGGGCCTGCCGGGGGTTTTATCTGCAGCCTTTGCTACAACACTGATTATAATTAATAGCAACGTGATCATGTTCCTGCACTGACACCATTTGCAGGGTAAATCAGTTGAGATTTTGCCATCCTCCTCTACCTGGAGAAATATTAAAACATGGAAGAAGAAGAAAACCTTCGTTTACATTGCAAAAACAGCCTTACCAAGTATTTTTGTCTAGTATGGGGAAAAATGTTACTAAAATAATCTACCAGTTGAACTATTCCTTTTTTTAAATCTGTATTCAGGAATATTGACTTAAAGCAAGCTCCGATGTCTTGCTGAAGAGCTACCCGTAAGTAAATGTAGTCTTATTTCAAATTTTCTATGATATTTGCACTAGAACCCATACAAAATACTTGGTAAAATGTTGTGCTTTTGCAGTGACACAGGCTTTCGTCACTTTTTAACCGACAAGGCATGAAGACCATGAGATTCAAATGGTATGATAATGTTACCAATCTATAGATATTTATTGGTTCTTCTTATATATAGTAATATACTTTATGCCGTGTAACTACTGCTTGCTATAAAAGATGAAGATGATTATGAAGTAATTGTGGGAAGTTTTAGTTTTAAGAGAAAAAGCCACAGTGAATTATGGCTCACAAAGAAGAATTCAAATACACCAAGCTTTTAAAACAATATATTCTCTAACAACTTTTTAATTTGGTTTTAACCATTCTATGTAAAGTTTAATTTATTATTTATACAAAAGTTGCTTCATTTTGGGACCAAGGCTGAAATTGTTACAAATGTCTTGCACCAGTAATATACCCATGTTGCCTTTCTCTTTGTATAATAAAAACAATTTGTACTTTGTTTTTAATTTGTTTTAATATATGTTAATCTAAACTGATTCAGGGCAAAAATCACCATTTCAGTTTAGTATTTTGAGTGTTTTTAAACGTAGCTGCGTCTGCCTCTGACTTTCAGGACTTTTTATATCAGGTTTTCCTCCAGATCATGACAGAAATGTCTTTATCAAGGAGAATTAGTTTTAATACATTTCTGATTATCACCTGTTTATATCTCGTAGTGTCCAACGTGGCAGCAGTAACCTGTGTTTGGTGGTTTATCGGGCTTTTTCTTTTAAGTCTGAATGTTTTTATGTTGTTTTTTTTTATCGGTGCTGAAACTGAAGATACTGTGTAAGATTATCTCAATTTATTCAATAACAAGAAATACACCTTCATATCGGTTTGTTTTCTGTTTTTTTACAAAATCCAATTAAACTTTAATATAGGAATGTACCCTCAGCTCATTGTTTTGAATGTGAATGTATCTTCATTAATGACCAAATGTGTTTGTTTTGTGCAAAGTGTCAGAAATGTAAACATTTTATGTCTGTGCTGATTTTAAGCGGTTTGGTAAATGTATTTGTTGTCAATGCTATGATAAAAACAATGCAGCTAAAGCCGTTATTTAGGTTCCAAAGGGGTAAATTCAGACTCTTTTTAACACATCAGTCCGTATCCTGGGACCGCTAGAGGGCGCTGTCACTCAGAAACATTTAATGTAAACATTTTCTTACTGTGCTGATAAATGTGCTGCTGTTTGTCTTGTCTAATAAACTTAATTTTTAGTGATTCCCTGATTTATCTGCATGGTGACAATTTGTCTTTGATTTTCCATTTGTAAATAAATATAAATTAAATGTATAAAGGTGAATAAAATCCAGAGCAATACATGAATTAACTGTACGACTGTTAAGGTTTTATGGCGATAAATCACAAGAATTTAAAATGTGTTCAAAAGCTCCTAAAATAATTGTAAACATTTTTAATGCCTATAATCTTATCAAAAAATATCTTCAAAAAAAGAATAAATTACTGAAATTAAATTCTCAACAGTATTCTGATTTATTAAAGGACAGCTGTTTTATCTGCTCAACAATAAAGACACAAAAATAAAACCTGCAAAACAATTTCAAGTGTTTTGGGTAATTGTTTTCTAATTTGTTGAGCAAATTTTTACTATTCTTGTAGCCATGGGTCAAACAATAATTTCAAGGGTCACAAATGGCCCTCGGACCACAATTTGGTCAACACTCCTCTATATGTACCACCCCAATTCAAATATTTGTAATTAAACATATATGAGTAAAAAAAAAAAGTGTGAAAGAATAAAGCTCAGAAAAATTTTCTCTATTTTTTTTAATTAATGTTACACAGTGAAACAAGAAAATACATGTAGACATTTATAAATAAATGTATATAAATCTGCAAAATTAGGACACCATTCAAGATGAATGAGAATGAGTCCTTAAATTATTTATTAGTACTTTAACTGAGTAAAACAGTCTTAATATGAGCCAAATACTCAAAATATGAACTTTATGCAGATGAGTCATAACTATAAATAATTTAAGAGGTACATTAACCAGCGGTTTAAAGAGTGTAGCTGCTTTTAAATGCTCTCCTATCATGATGTCGTGAGGTAGGTTTAACCTGAACACATCTGTGAACACATTCAAGGACAGAAGCTGCGTTTCCATTACAAATCTGTCAATATTTCACTAATGTTGAGAAACACAATGTCACAATTGATATATTTCCATTAAATAAGAAACACAATTTAAATCACATAAGTTTGCTCATAAATCATTAAAAACACCTGCGCCATCATCCTTTAACTACTTCCTGTTGTCTTCTTCGTGGTTTTCGCCTGTCGCAATATCTGGTTGTTTTTTCCGTTGCAGTTTTGTTAAAACATGGCCAAAATTACCCACTTCATCTTAGCGCTGAAACATAAATTGTCGTCTTTCCTTTTAGTAAATTTATTTTCAAAATGTCAAGTTGTGCCATTATGTGGTCAATGGAAGCGCAGCTGCAGTGGGATGCAGTGGCAACAGTTCATAAATAAAATGGGTTCAGAGATGCTGAAGAGGATTTCTTTCTCATTCTGATGGATGACGTCCTGTTGGATGAATCAGGGACCCTGATGACGATCTTCAAGGGCTGGAGATTAGTTTTTAAGACGTTCCTCTTTATTCTCAGGATGAATTTGTTGATTTATTTTTGTTTGGATCTCAGCTTGGCCTCCAGCTCTACATGGCAGCCACCCAGTTTCCCAGCATCAGGGAAGTTATAAAGCCAATCACGACCACTATGCTGTTGTAGATGGGCCCACTGGACGCTGCAGCGTAGTACTCCATGTCTCCAGAACCCTCAGGCTCATAGCCGGGCCTTGGACGGTAGCCGCCTCCGAACTGAGGGGAGCCATACCCCGGTCCATAACCCCCGTATCCACCATAACCGCCATATCCCCCATAACCTCCATACCCTCCGTACCCGTATCCATACCCGGGACGGCTCAGGGCTGACCCAATCATCGCTCCTCCTATTGCGCCTGCAGCTGCCGCTCCGGCTACTTTCCCCGCACTCGGACCACTTCTCTGGACCTGGACAGGTGCAGGTCTGTAGGACTGACCGCCCCATCCACGGCTGTAGCCGCCGCCACCGACTCCTCCTCCTACGCCCCGACCGAAGCCACCGCCTCCGCGGCCGCGACGCGCCTCAGAGCTGGGCAGCAGGGCGCAGAGCAGCAGCAGACAGAGGGACAAGGTGGCGGGGAGCTTCTGCAGGTTCATCTTGGTCTGTCAGCTGCGTAAATAACAATAAAGGAGGAAAACGGAAAATCAATCAGCGCATAAAAACTTCTCTCTAAACTAAAGGTCTGCAACCTGAGCTCCATTGGCTTCAGCAAGTGACCATAAGCTAAAGAGAAAACAAGCTTTAAAAGGAGATTTATTGTGCAAAATTCACATTTTGCACGTTTTTATACTTCCATTTGGGCCTCTACTGCTTCTAAAAACAGTCCAAGTACGTAAAATACACTGTCCAGCTGTTTTTGGCAATAATGTTTTCTGGTATCTGGAAAATGAGCCGAGGAACCCAAGCTGAGCTCGAGGATATTTGGTCAGCTGGTTTTACCACTGTATGCGCTGTACAATGGCTGCTGGAAAACACAGGTATAGAAACCACTTCCTGCATTCTTGAAGGCCCCCCTGAGGAAAAAAATTTCAACACGCTCTGCTTTTTGGGCAAAATAACAAGATGTGGGGCATTAATAATAAAGGCTTTACTATAAAACCATAAAATATATCTTGGACCATATGCTATACACTGTAAAAAATTAGTAAAACTTTCAGAGGAGCACTTTTTTGTCTAGGGGTCAAAAAGGATGGATTCTCCAGCACCACCTCTGTTGGTGCACATCCTTGATTGGAAATACCAGATTGCCTGTTAAAGACATTAGACTTATCACTGGTAAAATTTATTTATTTTTCTCTGTTTTAAAATGATTTATTTTAAAATAATGCAAAGGTAATTAGAATGCAACCTTTAGGAGATTTTCCTAGGTGTTTTCATGTAGGTGTTTACACACATAACCTCTTCACAAAAATGACACTTATAACTAATAGCTAATATGGTTACTAATATTCTCTTTCTTAAAGTATTTTTTTTGTTAATACGTTACAAATTACTTTTTATGTCATTTTCTATAAAATTAGAATCTTCCATTGTAGAAATTGTACTGAACCCAAAAACAAGTTAAAACAAATTATTGTGGTTATGTTTTTGTTTTGAAGAGTTAAGTTGCTTCTGTTTAAATCAAACGTGTTTAGCTGGACTGAAGGCAGAAATGTCTCTTAGTGCTGTAAAAGTTGCTGACCTCTGACATCAACTGAGGCCTTAAAGCCATCTTTAAGAAATAAAAACTTCCTGAATTCCTAAATGTACATTTAACATTAAACAAAAAATCTGAAGCACTTTGTTTTCAACTTAGAAACTTTTGTATGTATAATTTGATCAAATTAAGATGAATCTTCATATCGAGTCACACCAATAAATCACATTATGACTATAGAAAATGTCTGGCTGGGTTTTCTTGCACAAATCGTTCTTATACAACCAGGAAAATAATACGTGCATCTTTAGTCTGGACCTTTGAAGACCTAAAGAAGAGCGCTTTTAATCCCACTTTGAAAAACACGTCTTACATAAGCAGTGCAGCACAAGACGACAATGGAGCTAACGTGAGATCAGAGCTTTCATAATCTCTGTGTCCTTTTAATTTGGATCTGGCAGATTAAGTCCGTCTTTGCATGAGTGGGACGAGGCCACTGGCCTGGTAAACAACTATATGAGGCATCACTGAGCAGATAGCACAGCTACTTTTAGAGTATTTATACTAAGAATAAACGATAAACGGTACTTTGGAGGAATGCATGCAAATAAAAAATGTGACGGACCAAATTAAAGACAAAATTAACAGATGAAGTAAATATTTGTGGAGAAGAATCTATTATCACTGCTACAACACACAATTAGAATATATTTATACCTTAAAGTATAACTTAATTTAATTAAATCAATAACAAATAGTAATTTAGGGCTAAAATAACGTAAATATTTATTCTTTTTTGGTTATTCTGACTGCTTCTGCCCTTACAGCACACTTAAGTTTTACCTTAATAAATTAAATGGATCTTTAATCTGTCGTTTTATGATGTGTTTGATATACTCCGATTCACTTACTCCAGGAATAATCCAGACTGAGATTAAAGCTACTGCAACTGAGAGTGACGAAGTTAAATCAAATTGTTTGAAGCATAAATGACACTTAAGAAATATCTCTGAGTCTTATAATAATAAATAATGCAAAAATGTAAGAAATTACAACAAGGGAAGTTGCTTTAACTCTACATTTCCATAACTGCTCACATGTAGAAGTAAATTAGGTTGGATGAACGATATTTAGACTCACCTGTTAGTTGTGGTAGAAACTCGGTTCAGACGTCGCGCTTTGTTTCTGGAGACTTTCGCCCGGCTGATGCTCCTCTGACCGTCTGAAGGAAAGTCTGAATCACGGCCAGCCTGTTATCCTCCTAACGATCTCCGTCAGGTGGACCGGTGTCGCTGATGCTCATTGGCCGGGCGAGCGGTAAGCTGCTGGAACGACGACGTCGCTCTTAAATACCTGCGAGAGCAACTGAGGCAAAGTTTGTTTCTAATTTGGTCTAAATTAATAAACCTCTTAGAGAAGAAACTGGAACGAGACTCAGCTCTCCTGAAGCTTCCACTCTGACTTGGTTTCTACCTTTTCTGATAATGACATAATGATAATGTGTTACATTAATAATAGATCTATTGGACCTCTTAATTATTTCTTCAACTTTTTCTCAAAAGCAGACCTGGATTGATTTATTAAACCTGGCTGATCATAGCAACTATTTTCAAATCCTGTTCTGTCCTTGTCTCTGAGAAAAGACAAGAAAATAAAAACCAGTGGAATCCTCAAAATGTTTGTAAATTTGACTGTTTCCACAAAACCCTTTCTGCTTTGGATCTGCAACAGTTTCAATGATCTCCTGTCCTCAAAATGACTAAAATATTCAACATATAGTTTATTATTGAGCAGAAAAACAAAATTCACAATATTTTAGAATTTTTAAATTAAAAAAAATATTGATTTTGACTTTATGATTTTGACAAATGTGGTCCAAACTAGATGATCTGAAACATTTAATTGTACCAAAAAGCAACACAATAAATGACATTATAATCATTAACTTGAACAAAACAATTACACAATATGAACACATTTTCCAAAGACAGATTTTTATTAAATAAAATAATCACTGTAAAAAAAAAAAAAAAAAAAAAGCAAAACAAAACAAAAAAAACTTAATTTTCAAAGGGGTGGAATGACATCTTTATGCTTACAAGCCTGTATGTTTTGTTAACAATATAAAAAAGTCACTAAAACTATAAACAGAGTCACACAGAAACTCTGCAGGGTGCCGTCCGTGGAGACGCGACAAACATACGCAAAGTGCTGCTCAAACGGTGCTGCTTTTAATGCTTGTTTAAAACATTTCAGACATTCTCCCTTAAACATCAACAAAGTAATTCACAGCTTTATTTTTTTTGTTGTGCTTTTTCTTTTTTAAAATCAGGTTTTTAACATGATACAAATCACAAGAATTGTAACCGTCTGTTTAAAAAAGCAAGCAAGCATTCAAACATTTACCAAAGAAACAGCTAACAGTCAGCCTGCGTCTGTCTGTTGGAACAAAATCTGTGGATAAAAATTCACTAATTAGCACAATTATTCTGGTTTTTTAAAATACTGAAAAAATCAAAGTGTAAATAAAATGAGCTAGACTTTTAGAAGAAGGCAAATAATAACATAAAATCTGTAAAACCAGTTTGTTTTCCCTTTGAAACAAGTTGAACGTGTAAATCAACTTCATGAAGTGATTTTAGTTTTGGACGTAAATGTCAGTCAGTTCACCCTGTTTACAATCTTGGCAGCTGCTGGTTGTAGTTAAAATATACTTGTGTTTTGCAAAAGTATTCACACCCATGCAACTTTTCCACATTTTGTTATGCCACAACCTTAAACTTCTGTGAATTTTACAGGGATTTTATGTGACAGACCAACATAAAAATGAATTGTAAAGTGGAGAAATATGTTTACAAACAAAATTGAAAAGAGTGTGTTCACCATGAAGACCAAGAAATACAGAGGAGTGAACGTGGGAAAAATGTCTTGTTATAAATAAGATAATATTCCAGTGGAACTTAAATTCAAAAAAAAAAAAAATCAATATTAAGGAATTATTATTGACTTAAAACAAGTTCCTAATTCTTGCTGAAAAGTTACTTGTTTTGTCTAATTCCAAATGTGCTGATATATTTGCCCTAGAAACTAGACAAAAATACCTTGTAAGATTTTATGTTTTTGCAGTTTTGTTTAATAAGATGCATATTTTCTGGTTAAAATAGCATTTTCATTTTTCAGAGAGACATTTTTCTCGAATATTAAAAAAAAGCGACCTGCCATCTGCGTTCAATGCTGCAGTTGCCTTTGGGACATCGGCCCCTTGTGCCCCCCTGATTCAGCGGCCGTGCTCAGACTGGCTAATGACTGGCCGCTGTAATTTCTGCAAAAGCCAATTCTAAAAAGTATTGACGAACACACTATTCAGATGTTAAAAACTAAACTTAAGAGTTAAATAACATTTTTGCTCCACTTTGCAACAAAGCCCAACTTTATGCTGCTCTATCACACGAGATCTCAGTGAAATATCTTCAGTTATTAGATGCAACTTAAAAATTGTGAAAACCAAACATTAAACTCACACATTACAACATGCAGTCATTTTTTTGTCTGTATCATAACAAACATAACATTCGGTTTACAGAACAGCTAATGACAGCATAATCTCAGGGTTGGGATTTATCAGTGAAACGAAGGCAGCTGATTTAAATTCAATTCTCAGACTCGCCCGGTTCAGGGAGGAATGTAAATGCAAACATTGGCATCAGCGCTTGGATCTTAAAACCTTGTGCTTTCAGTCAGTGTGATTAGCTCTGGCTCTTTTTGATCATTCGTAAGCATTTTGTGCTTGGACGAGGTTAAAATAGGCACTTTACTATAATTATGTCACATTACAGCTGTGCTTGATTAGAATAAGAAAAGAGGATGTGGCTCAGGAAGCTTATAAAATAAAAATACAAATAAAAAAGGTAAAATCACTCGTGTATGTGATGCCGTACTGGAAGACAGCAGAAGAGTGAACTGGAGGAGTTGGAAAGGAGAAGTTCTTGCCTGATCGACGCTCTCTCTCTCTCTCTGTGTTGGCGGCGGATGTAAACAGTTCCTAACAGTTTGTGCCGGAGGAAATCCTCACCTTCATTAGGTTAAATACACTTTGCTCCTTCTGGAAGACCTCGAAGCTGCTTTTCTATTATACACCGCAGGTAATTATACCTATAAATGTGGTGAAAGAAGGAGGTCAAAGGTCATTTAAAGTAGGAATATTCTGCAGCTGTTTAGATTATATGTAGTGTTTATGGCACCTTCTTCTGAGCTTCTGCACCTCTCTGTCTTCTTCTTCCTTCAGCTTGGTGATGAAACTCTGAAGGACAGGCATCTCAAATTTGATATACTGCGCCACCTGGTGGAACGAGAGAGAACTTCACCAATAAAACTCAAGATCCCCATCATGCCAATTAAGGTTCAATCATGTTAACTGAAATGTTTGTTAACTAATTTAGTAATCGATTAATCGCTAATCGGAGTACTCAGACTCTAAAAGAGGATATTTGCTGAAAGAACAACAATCAGAAAGGCAGTTAAGCCAAAACTATACAAAATTTTTTAATTTAACTTGTCTATAGAAAATATTCTACCCAGAACTCCTCAAGTGGGACAGTTTTAGCTTCACCTGGTTCAAATTCTCTCCTACTGAGCACCTTTTGTTGTATTATTTTTAATCAATTACTCCAATAAATAATCAACAGATCAGCCAAACATTATATTGATGTTAAGTCAAGAAGAAAGGGCTGAGCTTTTAGAAGTATTATTTTAGCTACAAATTATCAACGGTTCACAAATGGAATAATACTTTATTTAATTTTAGTCAATAAAATGTTTAATTATTAAAGAATTGAGTTCAATTATTTGTTTATCTGTATTTTTTAAAAGTATTTCTAATATTGAATAAATAAACTTAAGAGGCTAAATGAAAAATCTGCTGAATCTTCCAATTTCTTATTCGATTAATCCATTAACTGTCAGAATAATCGACGATCCTTACATCAAAGTAAGGTGTGTGATTGTAGCTGGGAGTATCATGTCAGGAAATGGTTGTGACTTACATCATATGTGACTTCTTCACCCAAGTCTTCCTCCATGAGGAAGACCTTGCAGACCTGCTCACATGGACCCTGAATGACTCTCAGCACCAGAGGAAAATCAGTCCGCTTCAGCTTCACTCGCTCTGAAACACCAACGCATCTTTAATGGGTCAATTAGTCAAAATTCATTTAGATAAAGCATATACTCTCACTGGCCACTTAATTAGGTACACCTGTTCAACCAATCACCTTGGAATAGTAAATAAATTGTATTTAAGAGTTTTAATCCAGCGGGTAACAAAAGTGTGTTTGATGTTAGAGATTACTCAAAATAAGCAGCGTTATGTATCTCAGGTATTTGTCAATAGCTCTAAATATTTTAAACGATCTGTTTCTAATGTGTGAACCGATCTCAGAGCAGCCCTGCAGGCTAGGGATTTTGGAAAAGTCATCCGGTAGGAAAATAATCTAATCTGTTCACTGCTGCTCCTTCATTCAAGATTATTTAAGAACAACTTATTTATCTGTTGTTACATAAGTCTTAAAAATGAAGAAACAAATCTGTTTTCGCTAAATCATTGTCTTCCTTCAAACAGCACCTGTCACATCGATTGATGCCCAAACAGCAGGGGGAGCCATCAAAGAATCAGAGCAACTCCTGTTTCTGTGATCTCTTTTCACCAGACTGCATACCGTTAAGTGGAGCCGAGCAGTTCAAACCGTAAATCTACCACTTGCTGCCAGATGTTACCATGGAGGCAATAAAAAACAAAAACACAGCGTCGCTTTCCTGCTGCTGGACATGCTGCGTGTACTCGCAGCTGTAAACAATCCATCCTGTTATCCAGATGACAAACGGCAAGAAAGGTTAGTGTAGCCGTTTCCAGCAGGGCAACTCTGAGCTTCTACAGCAAATAAAATAAAACTATTTCCACTGCAGAAACAGAGGCTGCAGCTATTTAAACCCCGACTAGGTTGAAGATAAACGATTATAGAAACGCCTGATTTTAAGAAAGCAGCAGGACAGATGGAGAAAGTTGATCCAGATTAACCCAGTGCTCAGGCTTCATTTCCAAACAGCTCACTTACCTCCACTTGCATGGACAAGATAGAGAGCGAAATCATCCGAGCTGTTTTCGATTTTAAACTTGTTGAGGAGAACCCGGAGCACCTGCGGTGTGGTCATGCAGCTGTTGATCCTGACATTAGTAACTGAACCATACGCAGGCGTGAACACGGCTGTCTGAAAACAGAAGCATTAAACAGTGACGGTTTACATTTATGAATTATATTTTTGTTTCTAGGTTATTGGAGGTTTTCATAGAAAAGCACCTTATGGTTGTAAAAGTGTCCATTGATGGAGAATCGATGGCGTCGGATTTTCCTCTGGTCGCTTGGAGACCGCCGCTGGCCGCGTCTTAAGATGCCAGCGTCGCTTTTCGTCCGGAGAAGCTGAGCAGAGCTCTCACTGTCCTCTGAACGACGACACAAAATAAATAAATTATTAGATCACTAATTATTATTACATCACATGCAATAAATCACAGGTGCTCTGCAGGTTACCTTCGTGTGAGATCTGTAAAGAACATATCCTGTATTTAAAAATCTACCAGGTTTTTAGGTTTCTACTTGATTTGATTTTATCTGTAGGTACTTTTTTAATACTGTTTTTTAGACATTTTTATATCAGTAGGTTATATTTTGTTACTGTGCTGCTATAATAAATGAATTTCCCCACTGGGATTATTCACAAGTGTTGATGAGAGAAAACATTTTTGAATGGATTGATAAACCAGGATCTTACGAATCGAATTCCTGAGAAAACAAATTGTTCAAATTATATTTTATAAAGGGAAAGAAATTTTCTAATAACTTTTACAAACAGACAAATGCTCCACAGTTGCTGATCTGACTTCTTGGTCATGTTAGAAAACAAAATCTGTGAAAAACGTCTGAGAAGTTTTTCTGCATAAAAAAAAACAAAGATTTGTTAATTGGATCTATTTAAAATGACATGAACCAAAGCATAAACATAAATCTTCTCGTAAAAATGACACCAAACCAACTGATGATGTTTATTAGATGATAGAGTCGCTGACCTTCATCCGTCTCCGTGTTGTCTTCCTGTTTACTGTCAGGCGGCGTCACTTCCACAGTGGGAGGATTTTGTTCTGAGGTCTGCTGACCGTCTGTGTTGTTGGGAGAACTGCAGATGTAAAAACAACAAAGAACAAAGTTGAGAGAAAAGCTAAGAGCCAAAAAATCACAAAACTGTAAACATAGCAAGCATAAAAGTGATTAACTAACACATTTCTGATCCAGAGCGAAACCAACTCTTTGGTTCTCAGTTTATTAAAGACAGAAAGGTGAACGAACTGGGAGATATTTTTACACAAAACAATCAGAAATATCAACACGCTTTTCTTTCCATCACATGTTTAATGTCAAAACATGAAGGTAGGTTTTACCCACTAATAACTGTCTGTTGTTACACTTAATATGTTAAAATGTGTTGTCAGTTGAGTTGTTTGAACAATATCCAGGAGAAATAAAAGTAAAGGTTATTTGGAGATCTGAAAAATTAACTTTGAAAAGTTCATTTTTCATTTAATTGAATTCAAAAAGTGAAACTCTAGATTCTTTACACAAAGCGTGGTATAATTGAAGTGTTTATATTTGTGTATTTCGATATTGATGTCAGTTCTGTTTCTCCACAATTTACAATGTTACATAAGACAAATAAAAAGCTTTTAGTGGAGAAATGTAAAGTTATTGGAAGGACTGCTGATAGCTGACAGCTATTAACAACTTTCACAAGACTGGTTCATGTCATTGCTCTATTGAAGAATACAAAGGGAAAATTGAGTGGAAGGAAAAAGCCTGATAGAAAAAGGTAAAAACCAGCAGGGATAACTTCAGTTTTTAGAGGATTGTGGAGAAAACCCAACTCAAGAAATGGAGTCAGACTTTCTAAAGCCACTCCACACAGACAGACCTGAGCTACACCTCTCCAAACACAGATCACTTTAGGAGCATTTTACCTCCAACAAAGTAAGATTTTCAAATAAAATTTAGTTTGCATTTAATTTGGAATGCTATCAAAACAACCTGGGTTTCTGTTAGACCTCAGCAGAATCACAGGCAGATCACCTCCATGCTGCATTGATGCAGTAATTCATGCATAAGGAGCCAAACCAACTATTGTGTGAATAAACTACAGTGAATGAACGTAATTCTCAGTGAGACATACATTTTTGCACGAAAAATCTTTTTTTTTACTGGTGTTATGTAATAATGTATTAAAGTTAATGGAGAATTTCTGTAAGACAAAATCATCAAAATTAACAAAAAGAAAATGCTTGAAATATTAACAGTATTGTATTAATAATATTTAAAATATTCAGGTTTTATTATATTAGTGTTTTAAAAATGTAAATATAAAATGAATAACTAATAAATTAAAATAACCTTTTCTATAATATTTCCATTTCTTAATGTATATTTGTATAGCTTTAAAGCATTGATATGAGCTTTGTGCAGCAAAAATAATTATGAATTCAAATAAACAGATCTGTTAATGCATGATGACAGGTTCTTTGTGTTTAGATTCTGTTTAATTATAGATTTAATGAGCCTATCTTAACAGAGATCCATAATATGTAACTGTCGTCATTATCATTTCCAGTCTGAGTGTAACTGGATCTGTCTGGTTTGACTTGCCCTTGGCTGTCCAGGTTGCAGCCTGAGTGCCAGGACGTGGAGGACGGCGGCGGTCGAATTCGCTCATGGTCATCCTGCATCTGAAGTCTGATTGGCCGCCGAAGGCCCCAAAAGATATTTAGCAAGCCTTCGATGATCAGCTCCTCTTCTTCCTGTTTGGAGACCCAGACACTGATCATTGTCAACACTCTTCCAGCAGACAGTTATTAGGCCTTCAGGGCAGGAGGAGTAATGAGTCTGGAGCGATACGTTGGAAAAGATTGCAATCAAAGGCGAAAATGTCAAGAGCAACAAAGAGTGGGGCTGCTGGGAATGTTGTGTTCAAAGTTAAATATAAAAGTAAGAAACGGCTGTAATTACTCACCTCTCTGTGTCGGAGCTGGAGGTTCTGCCCCTCATAGTAAAGGTTGTATGTTTTCAGATGTGAGAGGATTGCTGCCCTGAAGACATAAAAACTAAATCACTGAGAGGAAAAATCTATTTTAGCTCGAGCCAAGAAAACACCAAACAAGACAGATGAGCTTAAATAGATTTACTGCGCAGCCAGAATTTAATCAAAGGCTTATTGGATTATTTTCTTTAAGATAATAGAGCAGTATTACATGAAGATATGAAACTTTTCTAGTGCTGCTGGGCTTCTTGTCCAGCCTTGTATATGTGCAGATCTCCTGTTGGCATTTTGAGTCCAACTTTATAAATAAATTAGCTTCTGAAAGCGCCACTGCTCATAAGAAAGAGACAGACCTACTCCATAAATCAGAAGTTAACTCCTCATGTTAAGCTGATGTTACAAACATGGATTTTCCAGAAAACTACCAAACAGAAGACTAATAATCATCAAACATGTGTGTTCATTATTTACTTGAACATGTGAGAAAGTGTTGAAGTGAAACCTTACTTGCTGATGAACTTTTTCTCTCCGATCTGAACCCCGTCCTGTGTACCATCCATACTCGGTTAGCATGAGAGACTCTGAGGAACAAAGAAGTAAACACAGAGTCAACGCTCATTTATCAGTCTCATGACTCCTCATGACAAACTCAGAGGCACACAGAGGACAGTCTGAGGAGCAGGAAAGCGACTGCAGGAAAAGAAGAAATAACAAAGATCGTATCTTATTTCCTGCCAACAATTCCCCTCAAGATCCTAAGTGATAAAACACTAACGAGTCTCTTTACAGAACCAAAACATTTGGTGCTTCATGGCGGAGGAGAGCAGCTGTATCGTTGCTCTTTAACTGTGCCATTTGGACAGAAGATCCAGTCATGCAGCTGTTTGACGTGGCGGTCGGTTTCCTGCGGAGTGGACTCAGTGTGGGTTTGTGTGAAACCTGGCAGGAACGAAGCCTCCAGAAGCACAAAGACAGGTGCAGGACACATGGGCCACCTGCTGCTTCACATTATTTCAGCTGCTTAAACATTCATCATGCTGCAAAGAGACAAAATCTTACCCAGTAAAGTTGGTCTAGTTGATAGTACACCTGAAATAAGACAAAACTGACTTAGAAGTAACTTTTCAGCAAGACATAGGAGCTTATTTTCTCTGAAAAACATTTAGAAGCCACTGCACTGAACCCCACTGAAAACCTCCTGGTTATTCCACCAAATATTGATTTCTGAACTCTTCCTGAGTTAAAACATTAGTATCACTGTTTATAAATGAATATGAGCTTGTTTAATTAATTATTGGATGTCTGAAAGAACTGCATCTTTTTTGTTATTTTCGCCGTTTCTCATTTTCTGCAAATAAATATTAAATATTTGCTTGGAATTTCAGACACATGTTGTCAGTAGTTAATAGAATAAAAGAACAATGATCAATTTAGTCAAACATATACCTATAGAAATTAAAATCAAAGAAGCTGATAATTTTAAGTAGTCTCTTAATTTTTTCTAGAGCTGTAGATGAAAAAGTACTTGTTCCACTGGTAGATTATTTCACCTGTAATCTGCCATTTTCCTCATGTTATAAATAAAATAATCTGCAAATGGAACAAGAACTTTTTCATCGATATAAAGGAATTACTGACATAAAACAAGCCTTTATATCTTGCTGAAAAGTTACTTGAAAGCTACTTTTGTCTTATTTCAAGTGAACTGAGGTATTTTCACTAGAACCTAAACCAAAATTACATGGTAAGAGTTTGTGTTTTGCAGTGCGGACACAATACAGAAATAGTTTCTTTACATTTCTGCTAAACATTTCAGAATGTTGACAGAGGGAATTTGAGTTTCAGGAAGTAAACAGCACAAATATATAGATTTAGTTGAATATCAGAAGCTTATATCTACATAAGGAGTATGTGTTGTACAAGTTTCAGCGATCTTACCACAGAGGAGACGGCAGGTTTTTGTTGCGCCTGTGTGGACAGAGAGCACAGGGTTGGATCGGTCCAATCTGGGTCAGGTGTGTCAGGTTCTGGGAGTCTGCCCGGTCCAGAAAAAGCCCACGAAGCTCTTTTTACTGTGTGCGACACTGAACAGATGGGGAAGAGCGGCGTTGCTTAAAGGAAGTGCTCCCCTTCCGTCAAATGGCTTCCTCCTTTGCTCAGTCAGTCACACAGGAAACTGACTCTACCCCTCATACAGCCCAAAACTTCCTCAATTCAAACAGCAGATCAACAACCACACACCAGAAAGAGAACGCAGCTAAACTCTGATCACCTCTCTGGGATCGGACAACAGATCGGTGTCACCAGCACATTTAAACACAGTGACCATAAACAACCTGAGGCTGTCATCTGTGAAATAAATTAAATATTTAACAGCAATTAGCCAGGTTCAATGCCAAGCGCCATCAATATTTCAGCAGCCATATTAGGCCTGTGGAGCGCCCCAAACCTCACCACCGACTGACACAATGGCAGCCATTAGCCTCTGATATCATGTATCATATATTGTGTTCGAAGGCAGCTCTGCTCCAGCATTTATTAATGGGTGATGCTTGTGGTCTGAGACTGACAAGCGACCAGCTGTCAAACCAAAACAAAGCGCTAACAGTTGTGGGTCGACTAAACCTGCAGCTCTGACACCAGGATCTAACCAGGTGTGTGACCTTTACAGCTGAGGCAGCATGATTAAAGTGTTCACATTTAACCATGTCAAATGTTCAGAGCATGTCAAAGTTTCCTTCTAATTGTCAAGAATAAACATTTTATATTCAATTATGTAGACTTTAATCTGTGCTGCATATTTTGACTAAATGCAGCCTTGAAGTTGGGGACTGTGTTCAAAAGAAAAAAAATCAGGTCTGAAATACTAAGTTTAAGTTGTGCTGGAATCTCAGAGGAATTGAATAAAATATTTTATTTAATCTTAATTTGACATAAAAACTCTTTTGAATCAAATGTAGCATCAAAGCTGCATCAGTATCACTGGCACCACAGTAAATACAGATAAAACATTTTTTTTTGTCTGGCATTTAATCTGAATATATATTTGCTGTTTTAGGTCAGTTCAGATTACAAAGATTCTTCCAGAAGCTTTTCACAACCATTTGCTGGTATATTTGGCCCATTCCTCCAAACAGAACCAGTGTAACTGAGTCAGGTTGTAGGCCGCATCACTCAGACGTCGTCTTATGTTTTCACTGTGTGATATCACACTGTTGATGTTACAGCTGTGTGATATCAACTCCAAAACACTCACTTTGTTGTATTTAAGCAACTTTGTAAATAATATAGTGCCATCTTTAAGGTCATTGCGTCTTTGAAGGATTTAATTTAATTTGTGTCCAAGTTTAGCAAAACACCCACTCCCTATGGAAAATATTGGAAAGTATTCTTAGTATTGCAAGCTTTTACAATATTATTCAGAATTTAACGGCATGAGTTATTTTTCAAAGAGGGGGCCTTTATTTTAAATATTCAGTTGTTAAAAAGTATGGCAGCCTTCATACATTTAAACATCTGGCTTTGAAGAAAGCAATAAAAATATTCTGACATAAATGTAGTCCTAAAAAAGAAAGCTTTAAATCTGTTATGTCAAACGGTGACTAAAAAAGTGGATGTTCCTTTTTAGTTCAGTCTTATAAACATCTGGTTTCACACACTTCTTTTCTAAGCAGAACTTCTTGTCTCTGTGAAACAGATCCTTTTGAGATAAAGACGACGTCCGCAGCAGATCCAACATCAGCCCCACTGCAGACAGTCTGACCCAGGGCTGACCCAGTCCAATTTCAGATCCCAGCGTTCTTCTTCTATGTGCTGGAAAACGGTCCAAATGTAGAATACATTGAGCGTCTGAATTCCCCTGAGGCTCATTATAACGTCAGCCAATCCTCAGACTCCATCTTCTCCTCTTACGCCACCGTTGTCTTCACTTACTCTGTTGTTTTGATTGGAACCATAAAATTCAGTTGATAAAGAGTATTTTCTTTTTCTTCCCAGAAATGTCTCCAAACCATCTAGCTTTCTATCAAACATCCTCTAACGACGACCTGACTTTTCTCTCCACATTCTCTCTTTAAAATGCCCCCTCCCCTCCTTGTTTTTTGCCCTCTCGCCCCGTCGCCTCTAAACCTCCTCAGTCAACGTCCTTGGTGCTGAATAGCTTCAAACCTCCTCCCGTTTTTCTCCCAAACCCACCAACAGGGTCTCCGCTGTCTTTCAGCGTCCACATGACTACTGCTCTGTCTCACCATTGTCATTACTGTCATAGCAACAACACAGAAACTAAACCACACACAGGCCTGCAACAGAAACGCGGTTTGGCACTGCTGCTCCTAATGGGGACGTCAAATATGAAGCAAGCAATCATTTATCCAAAACAAAGAGTTCAGACTGTCTAGAAGTCAATTCTTTGGTCCACTTTTATGGTTTTCAGTCACTCTAGAAAGAATGTGAACATGCACTCTGAACTTTATCCAGTTTTTAAAATCCTGTTAGCAACAGAATAATTTAGATAGTTTGGATACAACTTTGAAAAAGCCTCTGACTGAAGACACCTTTTTTCTGTTACAGTCTCATAAAGATGATGGTTGTCCATAATATTCTTAATTTTACATAAAATTAAATAAAGGATGCTGCATAATTTTGCTCTCTATTTTTACTCAAAAGTTTACATTTCTAATTTTGTAGTTAAAAGAATTAGCAGAAATGTTTCTTGCAGACAGGAGTGATAATGTGTCAAAGTTTTCTCACCCACTTCAGCCTCAAAATCCAATATGGCTGCTGTCCCATATTAAATCTGAAAAACAGAATATTTGCACTCCTCAAAAATTCTCAAAACTACAGCGCTTGAAAAATACAAACTCCATCGCTATAAGCTTGCATTGCTAGTATTAGTTAGCATAATCTTTAATATTAAAAACTAGCTAATCCCACAGACTTTCTAACTGGAACTAGAGCATGGTTAGGTTGGATTAGATGTCATTCCCAGATCCAAATTCAGAGATAATGGGAAGCAAACAGCACTTACTCCAGGTTTGCTGTCGTCTACTGTTCACCAGTCCTCAAAATGTTTTCCACTGTGTGTCTATCATCTTTTTGGCTGCTGCAGCTGATAAAACCTTAGCTTCTTCATATTTACTTTGCAAATAAACAACAAAATGTATATTTTTGATATTACCAAAGGTATTTGGTAGCCATTGGTACTACTTGTGTCATAAGTTGAGAAGCATCATACAAGGTAGCTTTAAAAACATCATTAGAGGCTTCATTGCATGATATATGTCGGCTTAAAGGGAATGTGGGGCAGCATCCACTTTGGGAGCAGCCTCTGTGGCTGGCCATGTGTGCTGAGAGGAATTTTAACCATCCCTTGCTTGTTATGTAACCTGTTTTACTAATATATTTATAGCTATGTGGTCTCCCTGGTTGTGGAAATGTCTGATTTGAAAAGCATTTTCTCTCGTTTCCGTCCAGGGCATCAAACAAAGTGCGGTGGTTTGTGGTTGCTCGCTGAATATGAATAAAATACAAAACAAAAATGATATCTATGGTTTTTGGAGCAAACTGGTGGCGTTAAGATGTTTCTGGACTAGCTAACTCCATCCGCTGTAATATTGTTTCAGTTATTTTAATTAGACAACAAAACTACACATCCGTTTCGTATCGGAACATCTCTTAAACAAATCATGATACGCAGACTGAGCTACACCGACCTGAGCTGGATTTCTTGCCGACTTTAGGAGACTCTTTCTTGGCTTATCTACCGCTCTCCCTCTCGGTTCTTCTCCTCTTTTCTCGAGGATCAACCGTCGGCCCACGGATGAGTACAACTTGGTCTCGTGCTCCTGCCGTTGGAAACAATCAGAGCGATGCGCGAGCGGCCAAGCATCCAGGATCTCGTGGAAGGAGGACAGAGAGAGAGAGAGAGAGAGAGAGAGGTCCATCTGTTGTGGCGGGGCGCGTTGCGTAGGAGCGACGCTGGGCCCTGAGATTAGGAACCAATCAGAGGGCGGGATTTACGAGCCTTTGTTCACGCGGAGATGAATGAAAACATGACAACAATGGGAGAGACGGGCACGCGCACAATGGTCGATTATTATTTAATGGAGTCCTGGACCAGGGGCGGTGCTAGCATCCTGAAGCATCGGGGGGACAGCCCAGCCAAGAAAATGTTCAAATTAAATAATGGAATGTACAATATGTACACTTTGCTCTATAATTTAAATCGAAAAGCGAATATATATATATATATATATATATATATATATATATATATATATATATATATATATATATATATATATATAAACTGTGTGTTTATATATCTGTATATAAAATATATTTTAATGCACAAAGATAAATTTGCTCCTGTGTAAATAGTCACCCTTTATTTATCCTAAAAATATGAGATTCACTCAACAGAGCTGTAAGAACTTATAATAATGAAGCTGCTAAAACATAGAAAAACAAAGTATGTGCTAAAAAGAATCACAATAAAAAAACCTTTCCAGTTCATAAATTTGCAAGATTCACAGCAGGCATATACTGCCCCCTAGTGGCCGCCTGAAACTTCTCAGTCTCAAGTTTTAAACAGATTTCTGAAATCTTCATCGAAGTGATCATCTTGAAAGCAGATGCAGCCACAGTTACAGTTTAATGATTTGTTTTAAGCACACACACTGTAAATGTTTTAAATAAATATGCAACTTTAAGAGCTTCCCCCTCTCTTGCTCCGTCGCTCTGACATTAGCTTCCAGGTTCTTCTGCGTTGCCAACATCACCGGTGTTTGCTTAACTGGAAATTACTGCCACTCCTAAAAATATAGCAATTGTGTAATACCATCTCCATGTGATAGCATTACATGAGATACAGAATCTGTGAAAACATCAATCATTATGTTCAAATTATGTCCATGTGCTTTAACCATTACTGGAATATGCTTCACTAAACATTGTGTCATGTCTTTAATGCAGCAATCTGGAATGCAATCTATAGTTCAACCTCCAGTCAATAATGTAATCTGTTTATTTTTTAGCCAATAGCTGTGTGTCTGTTACACTGGAGGTACCAAAATACTTAAGAAAATTATTTAACTCTGACTGTCAAGATAAATAACTGTGAAAGTGACAGGGTGCCCATCACAAAGTGTTTAAAGACCAGATTCATAACATGTGATTTATGAATAAAACACTAAACCAATACCTACAGCACAGGGGCTATTTACAATTTAAATCATGTATCAAGACTCAAACCTCTTGACAAAAAGAACATTTTTAAAAAGGTGTGAAACTGTATTATTTCCTAACTTTTTTTCTCGTTTCGGACACATTGTCGCCCTCTGCTGGCTATTTCTGTTGAAACAGAAAAATGCTTTTTTTGGTGAATCTCAATAAACTAAAATATTGAAACTAATTTCAGTACTTCGTTAAAAAAAAGCAAATCTTTTAAAATACTTTTTCTGTAAATTATTACAGCTTAATGGGGGTAAAAAAAAAACTGTCCATGTACTGTAAATGCATGCAGTACTTCGTCTAGGCTCCCTTTCCTTGAATTATGTTGATGCAGTTTGATATGGAGGCGGTCAGTCTGTAGCTCTGGTGTCTCATGTTCCTTTTGAGAAAACTCCCCATATGCAGGTTTTTCCTTCCACTTAACATTCCATAAATATGCTTGGAAACAGGAGTTTCAGGAGCCAGGTTAATTGACGATTTGGGGCTTCTCCCGGTTGTAAAGGCGGTAAGGTTACCATAACTTAATATTTCTGTATTAAGTTATGGTCTTATGAAATAATTTTTATTGGTCTTTGAAATCAACATTTCTGAAAAGAAAAACAAATGCAGTTTTGTTTGGCTATTCATTAGTCACTTGCAATACTACAAATAACCTGTTGACCTAAATTACTGAAGTAAACATTTCCACAACATATAGTTTGCTGACATGCAGCTATACATTTTAGAAGAAAAAAAAATAATGTGGTGAAAAAAGTGGGGAAAAAAGACAAAGGAATGGTTTATTCTGCAACATCTTATTAAATAGTTTTAGGAACAAATAAATCATTTTAATGTTACAATTAGTTTACACAATTTCTCCATCAGACTGTTCAGCAAACATTAAATATACATGTTTCTGTTTTGTCTTTTCGTCTAAAGTTTCTCAGCTTGTTCTTTGATTTATACTGGTGGTGTGTAACATGAGCAGAAAGCAATGTTCAAAGAGTAGAAAAAATACAGTATGAAAAAGGTCCTAAACAGACAAAAGGATTTCACCAAAACCACAGATTACAGCTTTAAATGTGTTGATGTTTTAAATAAAATGTACAAGACGGTGTGCATTTCAGCATGATTTAAGATTAATAGTTAGGATTTTTTTTTCATCTTTACAAATATCTGTGTTTGCAAAAACATAAAAATGATGTATAAAACCAAACATTGAAAAAGATAAAACACTTTGCAGAGAAATATAATCTTCAGGCAGAGCCCCCTTCAAAATAACTGAAAGGGATCAATGTCTGTCACCTTGTGGCGACCTTCTTAAGAGCCAGCATTTAACTTGAATGGACTTTAAACCAGAACGCTGGCGGCTTTTACTCTAACTGGGCTGCTTCTGTAACAACTACATGTAATTGGACTCTGAATATCAGACAGAAACGAGGATAAAACCTTGAAAGTTGGGAGCCAAAGGTGAAAAAGGAAGCTGCTTTTAGGCACAGAGACCAACTAACGGCGTCCGTCAGAGATAAGGCAGGTTCACTCAGCTGCCGATCAGCAGCCGGCTCTTACCAAGGTGACCAGCAGGTGTCTCCTCCTGCAGCCAGAAACATGAACAGTGAGGATCCCCGGGAGAGAAAACCAGGTACACCAAACAGACGGGACTGAATTCAGTTTCACTGCAGGACTGCGGGAGTAGCGAGGGACAGGGAGACAATGAGGGACAACATGACGGGAGATGTGCAAGGTGCATTTTGGGAA